TAAAGAACGTTAGTTTTTGAGATCCAAGAATTATGAGACGGACCTAATCCTAACCATTTCACAAACACTTGATTTCCTTTTCGCCGTAGCACTTTTTCCACCAAGTAGACGTCAGGATATTTAACTTTTTGTAATTCCTCTCGATAAAAACCACCCATAATTTTTTCATTGGATGCATCTTTGAGCAGATATGTTGTTGGGAAAGTATTACGAACAGAATGTATTGTAAACACTTCGTTAGACCAATTGGGAGTATAGTTTTTGGTGAAGGCGTGTCGATGCTTGCTCACTCTGACGTGATCACCGACATTAAATTTTTTGGTATAAGGATCGACAATTTTTATGTAATTATATACAGTTTTTAACAGTGTCGATGCGTTTCTGTTATTTACCTCGCTAGGTTTCATTCCTATCGTCCTGTGAACTTGGTTGTTATAATCCAGAATTAATTTGGGAAGCAATTCCAACCAACGATAGTTACCTTGCATACTAAATTCTTTCCACATTTTTTCTTTTATTGTTCTATTAAACCGTTCAACAATAGAACTCTTTAAATTGGAAAATGAACTGTAGTGATTGATGTGATATCGTGACATGAGCTTCTTAAAATCCTCATTGTAAAATTCTTTTCCGTTGTCCGTTTGCAGATTCTTCGGTATGTTTTTCCGCTTTTCCTATAGAATTGTTTCCATACCTCGCGTAACTTCTTTGTCAGTTTTGTTTTTTAGTGGTACAGCCCATCCATACTTTGAGAAAGCATTAATAACTGTTAGAATATACTTAAAATTACCCTTAAATTTACGTAACCTAAATTTTGAATAATGTAATAATTATCCGTTGTATCCGTAGTTCCATCTCCGCTAAACGTAAGTATTGTTGGTTGTTTAAAATATCGTTGTACGTTTTCACGTTTCTTAAAATGAGCAGCAATGTTGTGTCCGTGTACGTGTTTACCAAACTTATCGATCGTCATACTAGACGAATGTTTTCCGAACTTGCTTAAACTCATCTTCTCTAGTTCATAAACGTCGGTGGTTTAAAACAAGAGATGTGAGAGTCGTATATTTATGATATCATTTTAACGTATAATCTCGGCCTCTGTTAGCTCCGATATTATTGATGATATTTCATTGACATGTGCAGAATGACCTGCCGTTTGCGAGGCCTTCAACAAATGCAGTCTATCGACAAGTTCGTTGGGATCGTCCCAATACTCGTATTCGATAAGAGCCCCAGGGACGACTTGTTTTTGTAATACACCACCGACTTTTTTCTTCGGATTCGGTCAGTATTTAGCCCAATGCACCTTGGGTTTGTTACCTTCAACGATAGGCTTGATAATATTCTGAAATTTCCCACTGTCGTCCTCAGTAGTCATACCTGCCTCTGGAATGTAATTAATATATTTTACATTAATGTATTTCTACATTTGAACGTAGTAAGATATCTTTGTAGTTGCGCATGTCCTGAATTGTAAATTTGCCCGGTTCGTTTTTAAATAGTAAATCATATGAACCAACGGTTCCCGTATATTTGAAGTTTCCAACGTGAATATCCTGATCCTCAAAGTGAACAGGACTGACACCAATGTAGAAACCTTCGGGAGTTTCGCGAACACCGTATAAACGATCATAATCATCTTTTAAATCAGTTGTTAAACCAACAATATACGTTCTGGGCAAAGGATGAAACTGACTCAAAGCGGCTTGTACCTCTGGAGACTCCAATCTTTCTTCTATTTCATCTTTAAGTCGTTCTATTCGATTATGTGCGTCCGAAATAAGAGCTCCGGTATCCTCGCTAGAATCGAGGAGTTCTTCTTCTTCGCCCGGCGGAACTTCATATACTTCTTCTTCTGCATGAGCTAATGGACCAAGAGGAGAAGACGTGGGAGAAGATACCAACCTTTTTTCAGGAGTCGATGTAGCAAATTTTCGTCGTTGTTCTTTTAATGGAACTTTCGGTTTTCGAATAAAATATTCGGTCTCGGTTTTAGCTGGTACGTCAGAAATATCCGGCGAGTAGCGTTGTATCTTAGATATCAATTTTTCTTCTTTTGGAGATAAACTTCGTTTTGGAATGGATAGTAAAGGCGCAGTGTCAAGTTTTGCGACAATATCCTGTAAGGGCCTTGCGATGGGTGCATATGCGGTTTCCGACCGAATCCTTGACTCCTCTAAGTCTTCTTTTAAAGAACGAATTTTGTCTCTCACGACTTCTCGTGCCGCGATAAGTTCTGCAGCTATCGTCTTGTTCATTGTATGATGTATGTGAAGTTACTACGAACTGTACAGCTGAAGTCGTTAGTTTTAAACTTCAATGAATTTATCAAAACCCTTACGGTAACGTCCCTTAGATACACTACAATCTAAATCAATAACTAGGATGCCGTGTCTATTCTCCCAACAAGCATCGCTAATTTCCTTTAGCCGATGAAACTCCATATCGCTCATTATGTGATCTTCAAATACGTGTTTTAAATTTGTTAAGTCTTGTTTAAATAACACCAAAAAGTTACAATTATCGCGAACTAATTGTTTTGGAATTGCACTATAACTTTGACAAATTAGAAAGCAATCAATGTTTTTATGCCGACCATACGAAAAATATTCCTTAATGACATTTTGACCTGTACAGGAAACATCGTCAAATACGACTACCGAATATTCTTTCGCATCTTCCGATCGAATGAACTCGCTTATATTAGAAAATTCATAGTAACCGCAATCTTTTATAGGTTCAATTAAGCGTTTTAAAAAGTCGTACTTATTTTGGTATAACGAATTAGAGCATAAGTACAAGTTTAGGAAGCGCAACCCATTACGTGCAACTAAAAGCGATAACATAGCATTTGTTTTTCCGACACCTGAGGGTCCTACAATTAAACCTCGCTTACATTTTCCACCAAATAAATTACTGTCTTGTAAAGTGTTCTTCGACCGAACCATTACTAAAATTTACTATAGGCAGTGTTAGAAGTTGCGGTAAACACTTTAATTTCTCGTCGATCATGATTCTCGTACTAAATGAATTATAACATTAACAGGACTGAATAAATTAATAAGACTGAATGAAAATATAGCAAAAGAACACACCTTAACCATTTAACCTAACATAACCTAACCTAACCTAAGGAAGAGGAGGAAAAATGGTTACCACTCCTCCTCCTCTTCCTGCTCATCCCGCACTTCATACGGGGGCGGAGGCGCTGCAGGTGCCGGTGTCGGAGGTTCTATCCCAGTAGAACAATGGTGTATGTGTATGTTTTGAACATGCACCTGCCCTCTCACCACTGCCGACTCTGAGACAATACTGTTTACCTAAGAAGATTATCGATAAGATTGACGTTGTTAAAGAGTGGTTGGAACTCGACGCCAGGCCTTCCCTAAACTGTGAAAGTTCTCTCAAAGAGGTCTGCAATTGAAGTACCTTTGCATGAAGGTCTTTATAAAAATTTTGATACAAAATATTAATNTTCCCTTACCGGCAATTTTAATATGATTGTACACCGTATTGAGAAGTTTATTTTCTACAGATTTCGAATTTATTTGAGATGGTTTCATTTTTGTGGTCGAATGCTTTGAATTGTTTTATTGAGTTGTAATAGTATCCAATAAGAGTAACCATTTATGATTTCCGTAAAGACTAAACATTTTATACAACTTCTGTTCCAACCCAATGCACCTTGGGTTTGTTACCTTCAACGATAGTCTTGATAATATTCTGAAATTTCTCACTGTCGTCCTTAGTAGTCATACCTGCCTCTGGAATGTAATTAATGTATGGAGCATTTGAACGTAGTAAGATATCTTTGTAGTTGCGCATGTCCTGAATTGTAAATTTGCCCCGTTCGTTTTTAAATAGTAAATCATATAAACCAACGGTTCCCGTATATTTGAAGTTTCCAACGTGAATATCCTGATCCTCAAAGTGAACAGGACTGACTCCAATGTAGAAACCTTCGGGAGTTTCGCGAACACCGTATAAACGATCATAATCATCTTTTAAATCAGTTGTTAAACCAACAATATACGTTCTGGGCAAAGGATGAAACTGACTCAAAGCGGCTTGTACCTCTGGAGACTCCAATCTTTCTTCTATTTCATCTTTAAGTCGTTCTATTCGATTATGTGCGTCCGAAATAAGAGCTCCGGTATCCTCGCTAGAATCGAGGAGTTCTTCTTCTTCGCCCGGCGGAACTTCATATACTTCTTCTTCTGCATGAGCTAATGGACCAAGAGGAGAAGACGTGGGAGAAGATACCAACCTTTTTTCAGGAGTCGATGTAGCAAATTTTCGTCGTTGTTCTTTTAATGGAACTTTCGGTTTTCGAATAAAATATTCGGTCTCGGTTTTAGCTGGTACGTCAGAAATATCCGGCGAGTAGCGTTGTATCTTAGATATCAATTTTTCTTCTTTTGGAGATAAACTTCGTTTTGGAATGGATAGTAAAGGCGCAGTGTCAAGTTTTGCGACAATATCCTGTAAGGGCCTTGCGATGGGTGCATATGCGGTTTCCGACCGAATCCTTGACTCCTCTAAGTCTTCTTTTAAAGAACGAATTTTGTCTCTCACGACTTCTCGTGCCGCGATAAGTTCTGCAGCTATCGTCTTGTTCATTGTATGATGTATGTGAAGTTACTACGAACTGTACAGCTGAAGTCGTTAGTTTTAAACTTCAATGAATTTATCAAAACCCTTACGGTAACGTCCCTTAGATACACTACAATCTAAATCAATAACTAGGATGCCGTGTCTATTCTCCCAACAAGCATCGCTAATTTCCTTTAGCCGATGAAACTCCATATCGCTCATTATGTGATCTTCAAATACGTGTTTTAAATTTGTTAAGTCTTGTTTAAATAACACCAAAAAGTTACAATTATCGCGAACTAATTGTTTTGGAATTGCACTATAACTTTGACAAATTAGAAAACAATCAATGTTTTTATGTCGACCATACGAAAAAAATTCCTTAATGACATTTTGACCTGTACAGGAAACATCGTCAAATACGACTACCGAATATTCTTTCGCATCTTCCGGTCGAATGAACTCGTCTATATTAGAAAATTCATAGTAACCGCAATCTTTTATAGGTTCAATTAAACGTCTTAAAAAATCGTACTTATTTTGGTATAACGAATTAGAGCATAAGTACAAGTTTAGGAAGCGCAACCCATTACGTGCAACTAAAAGCGATAACATAGCATTTGTTTTTCCGACACCTGAGGGTCCTACAATTAAACCTCGCTTACATTTTCCACCAAATAAATTGCTGTGTCTTGTAAAGTGTTCTTCGACCGAACCATTACTAAAATTTACTATAGGCAGTGTTAGAAGTTGCGGTAAACATTTTAATTTCTCGTCGATCATGATTCTCGTACTAAATGAATTGGATAAGACTGAATGAAAATATAGCAAAAGAAACTATATATACATATATTTAATAAGAAGAATAATAATAATAATAATAAGTATAATACCTTAACCATTTAACCTAACATAACCTAACCTAACCTAACCTAAGGAAGAGGAGGAAAAATGGTTACCACTCCTCCTCCTCTTCCTGCTCATCCCGCACTTCATACGGGGGCGGAGGCGCTGCAGGTGTCGGTGTCGGAGGTTCTATCCCAGTCGAACAATGGTGTATGTGCATGTTTTGAACATGCACCTGCCCTCTCACCACTGCCGACTCTGAGACAATACTGTTTACCTAAGAAGATTATGAAATTAAAAACGTGCAAAAAAGATTATAGATATAGCCTACCAGCTGAAACAGGGTATCTACTTTTACCTCCAATGAAGCAACTCTTCGCTCCAACGTGAGCACCCTCCCGACGTTGTTGCTACCGGACATCTTTTAGCTAGGAAGGGAAGTTATTAGTATGTAAAGAAGACAAAATGAATTCTGCTTTTTTCATTTCAACGGTGATGTCGAATGACGTTGTTAAAGAGTGGTTAGAACTCGACGCCAGCCCTTCTTCCGGTGTTCACGCTTCCCCGACTTTTGACGAAGTGAAAGTGAAAGGTGTTTCACATTCTTATCGTCGACATTCGAGGAACCTGCGATGTTTGGCTGCTCATTAGGCTGCACGTTTGGATCCAGAGCCTTCTCAACAGTCGACATGTTCAACAGGTTTATGTCAAAACTGTTTAACAGAAACGATTCCTGGCTGGCGAAACCCGGAGCAGTTAAATCAATTTGACTAAAACCGTCTTGAGACATCTTGATAAGAAAAGAAAATTAATTTATTTTATTTTAATAAAAAAAACATGTATACTTACATCGCTTGATGAAAAATACAGTTGCACGTTAAAATCTAACTGCAGAGGGTGCTTGTCAACAAAGTGCTGAATGATAGGATATGAATGATATTTTATGATGTTCGAAAAAATAAAGTTATGCTTACCAACAAGTTAACTTGAAAAACAGAAGGAGCTATAGGAACGAAAAACACAAGATTAAAAACAATATATGCCAAGAAAGGAGACTATACTTACCAGAAAAAAGTTATTGAAATTACGAAGTTATCAAAAACTGATCGGTCTAATCGAACAATCAAATCGAACTGATCAGCAGTAAGGTCCTGTAGGAATCGGAAAAAAATATCAATTTAACATAACAAACAAATAAACAAGTTGTACTCACAAAAACAAAGCAGAACGAGCTGTTATGATGAAATAAAGCAAGAATATATTATATAAACATGGAAGTAGAAAAGGTTACTTACCAAATAAAACACGTCAGCAAAAAAAGAGAAAGCTGAATGAGCAAGGATGTCTAGGACTGGAAAAAAACAATTTTAAATATTATATAAACATGCAAAACAAATATAGTTTTACTAACCAAAAAAGAGAAAGTTGTAGAAAGAGCTGTAGTGATGGAGAGAAAATGAACGTTATATAAACTTGATAATAAAGAAGGTTGTACTTACCAAAAAACTGAAGAACACAAACACTTAAGTGACTTTCAAAGGCTGGGAGGTGCCTTCTTATAGTAGAGTAATGAAGGGGGGTCGTGGCAAGGGGGAGGAGTGGGGAATGGGCGGAGTTAGAGTGGGGGTACTTTTTTTCTNGAGCTAATGGACCAAGAGGAGAAGACGTGGGAGAAGATACCAACCTTTTTTCAGGAGTCGATGTAGCAAATTTTCGTCGTTGTTCTTTTACTGGAACTTTCGGTTTTCGAATAAAATATTCTGTCTCGGTTTTAGCTGGTACGTCAGAAATATCCGGCGAGTAACGTTGCATCTTAGATATCAACTTTTCTTCTTATGGAGATAGACTTCGTTTTGGAATGGATAGTAAAGGCGCTGTATCAAGCTTTGCGACAATATCCTGTAATGGCCTCGCGATGGGTACATATGCGGTTTCCGACCGAATCCTTGACTCCTCTAAGTCTTCTTTTAAAGAACGAATTTTGTCTCTCACGACTTCTCGTGCCGCGATAAGTTCTGCAGCTATCGTCTTGTTCATTGTATGATGTATGTGAAGTTACTACGAACTGTACAGCTGAAGTCGTTAGTTTTAAACTTCAATGAATTTATCAAAACCCTTACGGTAACGTCCCTTAGATACACTACAATCTAAATCAATAACTAGGATGCCGTGTCTATTCTCCCAACAAGCATCGCTAATTTCCTTTAGCCGATGAAACTCCATATCGCTCATTATGTGATCTTCAAATACGTGTTTTAAATTTGTTAAGTCTTGTTTAAATAACACCAAAAAGTTACAATTATCGCGAACTAATTGTTTTGGAATTGCACTATAACTTTGACAAATTAGAAAACAATCAATGTTTTTATGTCGACCATACGAAAAAAATTCCTTAATGACATTTTGACCTGTACAGGAAACATCGTCAAATACGACTACCGAATATTCTTTCGCATCTTCCGGTCGAATGAACTCGTCTATATTAGAAAATTCATAGTAACCGCAATCTTTTATAGGTTCAATTAAACGTCTTAAAAAATCGTACTTATTTTGGTATAACGAATTAGAGCATAAGTACAAGTTTAGGAAGCGCAACCCATTACGTGCAACTAAAAGCGATAACATAGCATTTGTTTTTCCGACACCTGAGGGTCCTACAATTAAACCTCGCTTACATTTTCCACCAAATAAATTGCTGTGTCTTGTAAAGTGTTCTTCGACCGAACCATTACTAAAATTTACTATAGGCAGTGTTAGAAGTTGCGGTAAACACTTTAATTTCTCGTCGATCATGATTCTCGTACTAAATGAATTATAACATTAACAGGATAAGACTGAATGAAAATATAGCAAAAGAAACTATATATACATATATTTAAGAATAATAATAATAATAATAATAATAATAAGTATAATACCTTAACCATTTAACCTAACATAACCTAACCTAACCTAAGGAAGAGGAGGAAAAATGGTTACCACTCCTCCTCCTCTTCCTGCTCATCCCGCACTTCATACGGGGGCGGAGGCGCTGCAGGTGTCGGTGTCGGAGGTTCTATCCCAGTCGAACAATGGTGTATGTGCATGTTTTGAACATGCACCTGCCCTCTCACCACTGCCGACTCTGAGACAATACTGTTTACCTAAGAAGATTATGAAATTAAAAACGTGCAAAAAAGATTATAGATATAGCCTACCAGCTGAAACAGGGTATCTACTTTGACCTCCAATGACGCAACTCTTCGCTCCAACGTGAGCACCCTCCCGAAGTTGTTGCTACCGGACATCTTTTTAGCTAGGAAGGGAAGTTATTAGTATGTAAAGAAGACAAAATGAATTCTGCTTTTTTCATTTCAACGGTTAATGTTGCAACGGTGATGTCGAGTGACGTTGTTAAAGAGTGGTTAGAACTCGACGCCAGCCCTTCCCTAAACTGTGCAAGTTCTCTCAAAGAGGTCTGCAATTGAAGTACCTTTGCATGAAGGTCTTTATAAAAATTTTGATACAAAATATTAATTTCGGTCAAAATTTCCTCTTTGGTTGTTTCTACTTTCGGGCTTAATGAGGGAATTTCGATGGTAGGAATGTTTATGTTAGTAGGGGGAGTGGGAATCGACGAAGCTTTAGAAAAAGAAGCCTTAGAAACAAAAGCTGCATTAATAGCTTTAAGGTATGTCCGGTTTTCGGTGCAGTGTTTTATGATAGGGACACATCGGCGTACCAACCTCCAATTTGCATTCATTTTCCGGCAATTCTTTTACCGGTATTGTTAAAATTCTTCTTAAAAATGTAGCTTTCTCACGTCCTTTTACGTACGCTACTTTTGTCGAACGACACAAATAACAAACGATCTCATCGAAACGAGACGCAGGAACAAACCCGTCGTTCCAATCAATACAATGATGATGACTCATTAACCAATTCGCCGTATTGCGAAATTTGGTAGATAGTGAAGAAAAGCTTCGACTAGGTTGAAACACGTAATGACTTATACAATGATTACTGTCGTAAGAAGCCAGTTCCTTTGGGATAAATTCTTCATCGTTTATCGTGAAACATTGAATGTCCAAACCAATAAAATCCCTTTGAAAAACCATTATATACCACTGTATGCAAACGTTTCCTTCGATGTTTAGAGATACATTAAATGACGTTGCTTCAACAGTACCACTATATTAATTGCTTAACCATTTTCGTAAGAGGCGAATACACAAATGCTCTGTCATGCAGAATTAATGCGTAAGCTGTCGTACCTTCCGGAATTGGATTTTTCGTCGAATACTCGATTTTTATTTCTACTCCGCTTTTATGTATTGCTTCCTGTTGATACGTGCAATTAACGGCGCGTAAGTTTTAAATTCTTCCGGTGAAAAGAAAGGTTCGCTTTCTTGATAGTAGTATGCTTGCTGAAATCTTGAATACATATCATACAAAATCGCATAGTGATTGTTATCAAAATCCACATTCAAATTATCGTACGGAAAACGTTCTCCGTTCAAGAAAACGGTTACGTTCGTTAAGTTTATATTATCAAATAATGCCATGTTTCCTTTAAATATACCCTTTCGATTTGTTTGAAATCCGATGATTATAAATCTAGGCGTTTCCAATTGTGGAGCAGTTTTGACGGCCCAAGATTGCTTCGTAGTTTGAGGTAATTGAGGGTACTCGTGTATTTCCCACGATCGAAAAGGAACGTGAATGTCTACGTTTCTTTCTGATAGTTTTGTTAATGCCAACTGTTCGCGTAATCCCACCGCCACGTGAGGAACTCTCCATATAATTTTATTAATGATCAATTTCAATTTTTCGTCGTTCGGAGCGGCTGCTGGTTGAAAGATGACGTCCGTATCATCGTGTCCGCGAATTAGCACAAGTTCCTGTCGAACGTTCATCATGATCTTTCTGAAATCTTCTGCGAATCCTAGCAACGTTTTTAGCGGAACGCTAAGACCGAAATTTCCATTTTTATCTAAAGCCTTTGAAACACCCGCTATATCATCTTTCCAAGGTTTTATGTGCCAACCGGCGTTCTCTAATTTCACCACCTCGTTCTGTGTAGATGAGAAATAACCCTTCATGCATGAGCTTATACCGACGTTCCGCACACCATCAACATGTACTCCGTTAATAAGATATCGAATATCGCTAAACATAAATGCAACGGGATTGTTAACCAATTGCCCCGTTGCGCTGGCATCTTTTGTTATACTTCCGTCCGCGGCTAACTTACGAACGCTACCCTCGACGTATAGATAACTCTCGCTCGGTAAAGTATAATTATCTATTTCCGGAATTGAAATTCTAATTTCGTCATTGTTATCGAACGTGGTCGATCCAAACGGTTGATGCGAATGGAATTCATAACTTACGATAGAGTGATCTGTTTTTATCTTATCCGTTACTTTTAAAATGTCCATTACTTTAACACTTCGTATCCTAACTGAACTAAATACCTTCGATTGACTGGTGATAATCGATGAATGGATCGTCTTCTACTGCCGCTACGTTGACTGATGACGCGCGCTTTATAGTTTTCTCCATTAAACAATTTTCTCGCTCTGTCTCTTCTTGACCACCGCATTCTTTTGTTTTGATATAACACTGTCATAACGTTAGTCAAATTTAAATAATTCAATTTATCGATCTCAGGTGAACTCTCACTGTTATTTCTTCTTCTCTGAAGTCTACCAAGTTTCCGTCCTGATCAAGTATACGTACTGTTAAGCTACTAATCACGTTCGTTAAAACCGGTAAATAAATAGGTAGTTGTGGTGATTCGATTATTTTAAAACCTGCCGGAACGTTTGGGAAAAAATGATATAAAACGTGCACGGGAACTCCGTTATTATACGATCCCGTCACTAAATTACAATAAATTTGTAAGGCGTTCGTTTTATTTATGTTTACTACGAAATCGGATTCCACTTCCGTATCTCTAGGTAATATTTGAGGCTTGAAGCCAAGTAACGGCCCTATAGAATTATCGCATGCAAAATTAATTCGACGGGTACTTTTTATTAAAGAATGTTGTGTGTTATTATTCCCCTTAATCCTTATTACGACACTTTTAGCGTGTCTTTTGTCTAGCTGTTCATTCACGAACTCGGCAATATCATCAATATCGTACGTTCCAACAGGTACTATTATATTGTTTTTAAAATGTCCTGTCTTATCTTCGTATTGGATTACGTTGTTGTTTTTATTAACGTTTGCTAAACTATTAAACGTTTCGAAATTCAAAAGAGCCAACTCGTAACTACCAAATTCGTTCAAATAGATCGGAGGATTAAAATTACAAGTCAATTCAGATGACTTTCCAGTCAACGTAAATGTATATGTCGTGTGTATTGCTTCTTTCTCCATTACTTCTGAACGTCTAAACGTCTCTAGACTCTAATAGGTTCTTTTATTACTTAGAAACTTCAGACACAACTGTCCGCAATTTTGATCTATTTCTCTTTGATATCGACAGTAATTATACTTTACTTGACCACCCCTACCGTCTGACAGCAAATATTGTTCAATTTCTAATGGCGGTCTTAAATCACCGTAACTGTCGAAATAGTATATGTCCTTG